GACCCCGCGACAGAGGGGAATCTAGGAGAAGATCTCCAGGCTCACCGTACCCAGGGACTGGATCTTCGGGATTGAGAGCACCACCTCGGGAAGGAGGTGAGTCATGGGGCAGGCATTTAGTAAAGAGGATCCTTTCCTCTCTGGGATTAAAGAATCCCTCAAAGTGTGAGGAATTAGGGTTAAAAAGAAACAACTCTGGAAATTCTTTATTTTCATGGGAGATACTTGTCCTTGGTTCCCCCAAGAAGGACCAATTAATAGTCAAAAATGGAGAAGGGTGGGAAATACCCTCCAGGACTCTTACAAGACCTTTGGCCGGGAAAAGAAAAATCCCTGCTGAGGCTTTTAACTATTAGAACCTCATCAATGATATCCTCCATGTCCATAACCACTCCCCCACCCTCCAAGATTTAGTCAAAGAGGGAGAAAAAAACCCTTAAAAGATACTTTACGTGGGAGGCAGAGGCAGGCGGATCTCTGTGAGTTCAAGGCCATCTTGGTCTACAAGAGCTAGTTCTAGGACAGCCTCTCCAAAGCCACAGAGAAACCTTGTCTCAAAAAACCAAAAAAAAAAAAAAAAAGATACTCTTGTCAAAACATCCTACAGACCACCCCCCAGATCTCTCATTGCCTCAGTCCTAGTCCTTCCCATCACTCTTTAGAGTTGGGTAATAAGTCATCTCCCCCTAATGAGGATGATTGCAAGCATGTCTCATCTCCCTGTCCCGAGGTAAAAATTGAAATGTCTCCACCTCCCCCTGAAACACCGAAAATATCCTCCATTTATCCCGTCCTTAACAGCCTGGATGACCAGCCACTTGACCCCAGCTATGCTGCCACCCTTGAGGAAGAGGCTGCCAGATATTATAACCCTGACTTGCCTCTGCTCAATTCCCCCCTCAAAAAACGCCCCTCTGCACCACCCCCCTATCCCTCTACTCTGGCTGACACTGTCCTACAAGGACCATTTATGAATCTCTACTCCCAGACATCCTTTGACTTAGCACACCTTAAAACCCTCATCACTAACCGCCAGTAACAAATCCAACTCCTGACCAACTGCGGAACCTCGACTCCCAGTTATCCACTTTAGCCCTGGCCCCTTTGCCCAAACTGTCAAAAAAGAAAAAACAAAGGCCTCAGAGTCACTCCTGGCCTTCCCACTCACCCTTCGAAGTGGCAGCCAAGTCCCCTCTGCCCCAGAACCAGAGGGTAATTCTGAGGAGGAAGACGAGGCCCCTGTCCTGGCCCTGTCAGGAGTTCCACCTGGAGACCCTACTCCTACTCACCCCCCCCCACCCATGATATATACACCCTAGATCTCAGAGTCACTGAAAAATTAAAAACTGCTGTCTCCAACTATGATCCATCTGCCCCTTTTACTTTGGCACTTTTGGAGAATATCACTAAAGCCTGGCTCACCCATCATGAATGGCATCATTTGGCTTGGGCTACCCTTTCTGGGGAAGATTTTGTCCTTTGGGAGTCAGTATTTGCTGAACTAGCCTGTGACGTGGCAACAAAAAAACCAGTCACATGCAAAGTCCAGGACTTGGACTACAGACAAAATTTTAGGTAATTCCCCTCATCATACCCTAGAAGCTCAAGCCGCTTTTCCCACGAGACTGCTGGCACAAATTCGCCAAGGCAGCCTAGGTGCTTGGCGCAAACTTCTCCCTAAGGGAACTACTTATGCCTCTCTGTCTAAAATTATCCAAGACCCTGACGAGCCCTATAGCGCCTTCATAAGCAGACTCACAGAAACGGCTGAATGCCTCTTCGGTGCTACTGACCCCGATAACTCATTTATTAAACAACTAGCCTTTGAAAATGCTAACCTAGCCTGTCAGGACATCCTAAAACATCAAAAAAGGAGCCTCTCTCTACTTACGTCCACCTTTGTGCTGGTGCTGGTTCTAGCAATGCCATCGGCCTTGCTATAGGGGATGCCTTACAAAAGGCCGGCCTCACCCCCAATACTTTAAAAAATTGCTTTAACTGTAAACAACCTGGTCACTTTGCAAGAGAATGCCCATACTCTAAACCTACTCAAATCAGGATCACCAAGCCCATAGATGCCACTTCTATTCCCCTCCTCCGGACCATCACCCTCGACCCACCGCCCCCTGCCCTAGATGCCTCTGTGGCCACCACTGTCGCAATGAGTGCCGCTCCACCACTAATATCTATGGGCAGTCCCTACTCCCTCAGGGGTCGGAAAACTACTCTCGGGGGCCGCTCTGAGCCCCCCAAACCATGGCCCCCAGAGCTCCTGGGCCACAGATCCCCATTCCTCAACATCCTTACTCTCAATTACCTCGCTCTGTCGAGGAACAAAATCAAGCCCAGGATTGGACTTCGGTCTCACCTCTGACACAATACTGATGCCAGAGGACGGAATAGTTACCATCCCTACCGGCATAGTAGGCCCCTTGCCGCCCAACACGTTCGGCTTTATTCTAGAGCGTGCATCTTCCACCCAACGTGGTATACAAATCCTCCCCTTTTCAAAATCAACTATTGGTAACCACTTTACAAGGCGTACATTACATCCACAAAGGACAAAAGATTGCCCGACTCACTTTGATGTTCCAGAGTCTCCATGCTTCTCATAACCCTTATAAAGTCTCTCACCCTACCTCACTTTGGTTCTTCTGACATTTTCTGGATCCGAGAAATCACCGAGTCACGCTCTACCTTAACCCTCTTCCTTGGTGGAAAGCCTTTCTCTGGCCTTTTAGACTCTGAAGCAGATGCTTCTGTTATCGCCCTCACTCACTAGCCAAAATCTTGGCCCCTTACTGATACTGTTTCCCATCTACAGTGACTAGGACAAACCGCCAATCCCCAACGAAGTGCTAAACTTCTTACTTGGAGGGAACAAGAAGGCAACTCCGGGACCCTCCTTAACTTATGGGGACAGAGACCTTTTGTCTCAGATGAAACTCTATATGCTTTACCCAACGATACAATTGCCAAACAAATGATAAACAAGGATTCCTTCCTGGACAGGGTCTTGGGCCACATGGCCAGGGGATACATCAACCAATTCAAACAACCCCCAAATTAGACAAAACTGGTCTAGGCTATGCTTTCTAATTAAGGCCATTGTTCAAGCTGCACCCCAAACTCCCCATGGGGACAAAATCTTCTGGAAATCCTCCATGCCCATTTGGGTCAATCAATGGCCACTCACCAAAGAAAAACTCTTAGCAGCCTGGAGTTTTACAGCCTGAAAAAATCATCCCCTCCAACTCTCCCTGGAACACCCCTATTTTTGTAATTAAGAAAAAAATCTGGAAAATGGAGACTCTTACAAGATCTCTGCGCTATTAACAAAGTCATGTATCCAATGGGTGTGGGAACAAGAGACCTTGGCCAGCGGCCCACTTCCCCATCAGCCTGGGAGCAGGCAGCTGTAACCCACTGCAGAGAAAACATGTTTACTAAAAACGATCTGGTACCCGTAAGAAAGCCATAAGTTCCTGATAAGGGCTCACCCACAGGAACACCCTGACCTTGACCTTTCCAATGACTAGCCGCCTCTTCCTGACCCCCGTCCCAGCTTCTGGTGTCAGGGTATATAACCAGCCGGGGTAAGAATAAAGTGAAGCCTTCTTTCACCACCAACTGGTCTCTGTATCATCAATCCTGACACCCTCTGCAGATTCTTGGCCAGGCTGCACAGCGGGCACAGCAAATGGGGGCCCTTGAACCAGGCCTTCCCTCCACCATGGCTGTCCCCCATGGACACTATAAAATAATCATAGATGTAAAGGACTGCTTTTTCACCATCCCATTACACCATGAGGATGGGCCCTACTTTGCATTTAGCCTCCCCCAGATAAACTTCCAAGGACCTATGCCGCATTATCAATGGCAAGTCCTCCCGCAAGGTATGACCAACAGCCCCACCTTGGCCCAAAAATTCGTCTCCCAAGCCATCACTCCCATTCGCAAAACATGGTCTCAAATCTATATTCTTCACTATATGGATGATATCCTTCCTGCTGCCCCCACTAAAGAAGAAGGCTTACAATGCCTCTTTGATTTCAAACAACCCCTCACAACATTCAACCTTGTAATAGCTCCGGAGAAAATTCAATTACAAGACCCCTATTCATACCTAGGCTACGAATTCAGTTTGTCCACCATCATTCCTTTATTTTCCCTATTGTTACCTCTTCCCAACCACTTTCCACCTCAGACACTGTTTTCACTGATGGCGCTTCCTCAGGGACAGCCACCCTTATACATAATGATCAAACACTTACTTTCAATAACCCCTATCAGTCTGCCCAATTAATAGAGCTCTTTGCTGTCAAACAGGACTTTTTCCCTACTCAAGGACACCCCCTTTGACCTTTATGCAGACAGCACCTATGTTGCAAAGTCAGTCCCCTTGCTAGAGACCACCCCACTCATAAAACCCTCCTCATCGTAGCATCCTTATTCTTAGATATCCAGTTCCTTATACAACACCGTCAGGTTCCTTTTTTCATCGGACACCTCCGAGTCCATACTGGCTTGCCTGGACCCCTAGGGGATGGCAATGCCAAGGCAGATACTGCTACCCACCCAATTCCCGGCTACAATAATCTCAGTCTTAACTACATCCAACCCTATGCCTACCCCCATCCAAGCCGCTATGGATACACATGCCCTTCACCACTTAAATGCCCTAACCCTACACCAAATGTTTAAAATTACTAGAGAACAAGCCAGACAAATCGTTAAAAACTGCCTAGCTTGTCTTACATTGCTCCCCTCTCCACATTTGGGAGTTATTCCCCGAGGTCTGTTTCCCAACCCCCTCTGGCAAATGGATGTCACCCATGTCCCCTCCTTTTCTGAGATCAAATATGTCCATGTATCAATAGATACCTTCAGTGGCTTCATCTTTGCCTCCCCACAGACAGGCGAGGCAACTGAAGATGTAATTGCCCACATGCTAGCAGCCATGTCCTCCTCAGACAAGCCTACAAAAATAAAGACAGACAATGGTCCTGGATATTCAAGCACAAAGTTCAAAAATTTCTGCTCTAGCCTTCAACTTACCCATGTTACGGGAATCCCCTATAACCCACAAGAACAGGGTATTGTAGAATGGGCTAATCAAACCATTAAAAAAACACACTTCACATATTAAAAGGCACCATCCTCCCTCACAGCCAAAACTCCCCTCGAATACAGCTTCGTCATGCACTGTTCGTGCTTAACTTCCTAAATTTTAACCAAAACCGGCGCTCAGCTGCAGAGTGGTTCTGGTACAATTCCACCTCATCTACTCATGCCATGGTACAATGGAAAGATCCCCTAACTGGGACCTGGCATGGTCCAGACCCCGTCCTTATCTGGGGCCAAGGGTCAGCCTGCACCTTTGACAGTCAGACATTCCCAGATGGCTACCAGAAAGACTCATAAAACAAATAGACTCCAAACCACCTAACCACAAATCCAGAAGGGAGTCTAACTCCTCCCCCGAGCAACATTTTCCTCCACAGATGCTGCTAAAGATGAAGACAACCAGAAGGCCTGCCGACTGCCCTCCTAACCACCTACCCCTCCCTCTCCTCCTTGCTTTGCTCTCCATTCTCCCCGCATCCCCCCCCATCAAGATACACCTCACCTCCCCTGGAATTATACTTGGGTGGTCCTCTCAGAGAAAGGAGAGCCAATCTGCACCACTGGACTGGTTCTGGTCCAATATCACCATCTGGCGACTGATGACATTAGCCTGGAAAACTTCCAGGCTATTCAAGAAGGTTCCTCCCCACTGGGACTCATCCCACGCGCCTGAACACAAATCATTCTTGGGCATTGGGGTGCACACCTAACTGCAGAGGACTTCCCTCAACTCCTGAGAGCCTGGAGAGTATGTCTGCATGCATAGGGGTTCGACACCCAAAATTCCCCTTCTCCAACAAAAGGTGTCCTGGGTTGCCATTGATGGATATCCCCTCCCAAGCCGCGGATGAAAGTCTCCCACAATAAAAAAATATGGGGTCAGACCTCTACTTCCCCAAGCCCAATCTGATCTTTCTAAATAAAAGAAAAAAGGAGGAAGGTGTTGGGAGCCAGTCTCAGATTGCTGCCTAGGACATACAGAACTTCTGGCCACAGGACCAAGCGAATTAGAACAGTTATACAGCCAGTTCCTAGAAACCTTAGGGTTGCCCTTAACAAGGAACAAACCTCCCCTATCATGCTCAACCCCAGAGGCTAAACATAACCTTTAGGCTAGCCACAAGGCACAGTTACCAAGGCAGCTCCTCCTGCACTGTTAGCACCCTGCCAGACATCCTCCTTCTGTGGTCTTCTAACATCCCGCCTTCCTTGCAGCTACATGCCAACTACCCCCAAAACCCACCCCCTCCAAATCTGCTTCACCAACTACATAGTTAGCCCAGCAAAAAATAAAATAGCCCCTTGATTGGAATCCTGTCTTGTGGTCTTTTCTCTCCCGCCTCCTGCTCCACTATTTTCATTCCTCACAGGTCTCTGCTGTTCGTTCGGTCCCAGCTGGACTGGGACACCTATCTACTATCCTGGTCTGCAATTCTAACAAATCTGTGTTCATCTCCATTTATTTTGCTTGGGACTCCCTGAGGTTAGCCAGAGTCATCTATGAGACTGTGGATTTGGAGCTGTGTGTTGGGTCCTGCTGGGCTCAGCAGAGGACTGCAGCTAAAGGCAGAGATTCTCCTCCTACAATCCATCCATAGACAGCATTTTAGAGGTTAAGGGTGGGGCCCTGTGAGCCTTTCCCTTTCCTAGACTGACTGTGTTCTAGTGTGAGGTCAGTGCAGGTCAGTACCGTTGCTGTTGGTTACTGATCAACATCTGTACGGAGTGTAGAGAATGGCATGTCTGAGCCCGTCCTCCTCTTTCCCTTCTTATTCCCTTTCCTTGTCCTCCTCAGTGTTCCCAAGTTTTAGGGCTGGGACCACATATTTTACTTATTTTCTGCATCTGGAACAGCCAAGAGTCTCTTCACTTACCACTGCATTAAAACCTTTTCCTATATTTAATATAAAAGCACCTTCAGCATTAGTCACAAAAGAACTTGATTGAGTCAGTAAAATAACAATCAGCCCTGGGCTGTTAGCAATGGGCTGACGCCTGACTTCTGGAGACACCGATTTCTTTTCAGAATCCAGTTTCCTGAAATGTCTCTCCCCAAGACACAATTGCAGTATTTGGTTTTGTCTTGTCATGTTTGCGTTGGGGGTGGGATGCTGGCATCTGTATTTAGCCTGGTATCGTTTGTTGTAATCATGCAGCCCAGGAGGCTGCCTGCTTTTTATCTGACTGTTTCAGAGCTCATTGTGGGGAACGAACGTCCTCCCGGATGCAGCTCTGGTCTAGGCTGCAGCAAGCGTGTGTGAGTCTGTGCAGAGCAGGTCCAGGGCAGCCTGACAGCTGGAGCTGTGGAGAAGGCAGCCAGGAGATGCAGGGGGAGGGAGGGTTCCGTGGGGCGGGGACATTCCAGCGGAAATAGCGGATGGGAAGATGTGGCCAACTGGCTAGCAGTAGGTGAAGAGCGGGTACTGGGCGGGTTTAGAGGAGTGATGTAGCGGAAGGTGGGACGCAAGTGGCTGCAGGGAAATTGGGGCGGAGCCTCCGTCAGCGGTGCTGTTTGCCCTTTGCCTGTCATTGTTCGGAATTCTGCTTGGTGGGGAGCCAAGCGCTGCAGACCCGGGTGCGGGGGACACGGCGGGCGCCGCGGGGACCTGGAGACTCCGGAGCCGCAGTGTCCGCGCGGGGCGGCCTGGGAAAGTCAGCGTCAGCAGCAGCGCAGTGGCGGGAACCGCAGCCCGGCGGCCCTGGCCCAGGTTAGAGGAGCCGCGGGCTGGGAACCCGGGAGGGAGGGGACCGGAGTGCGAGCGGTTTCTCTGCTCTTCATCGGGAAGATGGCTCCCAAATTCTGTTGTAGGTGCCTTTACCTTGGTGTGTTTTAGATCCTATGGAATAAGCCGTTTTTTTTTTTTTAGTTGATCTTCTGATTGCCAAAATATTCTAGTAAAAATAATCGAATAGAATATTTGAATGTATCTGTTGAAATTTGCAAGCATCATTCTCTTGGCAGTGGGGGAAACGAAAAGGCTCTTGAAATTTACAATCATCCATACTAATTTTCTTGTTATACACTCTCCTATTCAAGAGACTAGCATATTTACCTAGAGACTTGGATTCGCAGAGAGATTTTAGATTATACTCATGAAAGGAACGCCTGAAAATTTCATTGAGTTCCACACTATTCTTGTAAACATTAACTTTTAAAAGTATGCTTTTATCCACCATTAATTGCCCATCTCGGACATATATATGCACTGTGTGCTGTAAATACAGCATTCTTTAAAGTGTCTTTTCGAGGCCTGGTGGCACAGGCCTTTAATCCCAACACTCAGAAGACTTAGGCAGGTGGATCACAGTCAGTTGAAGGCTGCAGAGTTCATGGTGACTTCAAGGACAGTCAGTACTACACAGAAAAACCCTGTTTGACAGGAACAGAGAATGTAGTGTAGAATGATATTGGAAAGAATCTTTTGAATAATTACGATAACTGATCTATATCAGAAAATGTCTACAATAGTCTTTTGTCTCCTTGATCCAAGAAAAACCCTCTGTCCATGGACACATGAGCAAACTGCTATTTTTGTTTCTGGTGTTTGAGATCTGAATTCACAGTGTTGCTCTGTCTGGAGCAGACCATGTTGACCAGGTTGGACTGGTAAACACAGAGTTCCTCCCAGCTCTTTCTCCCAAGTGGGAGGATTTTGTCTTTCTCCCAAGTGGGAGGATTTTGGTGTGATCAGGGACTTGTCCCAGGAGGAGTGGCAATGCCTGGACCCTGCCCTGAGGGCTTTGTGCTGGGACTGGATGTTGCAGAATTGCAGCCGTCTGGTTTCTGTGTCTGTGAATTGTTTGCTTGCTCCTCCTCAGTATTTCTTGACAAACTAATCTGAAAGTGTGTGAGCTTTGTGCAAATGAGTTTCACATCACACAGAATAAAGCTAAATCCTCAAAGGAAAAAAGAAAATTTTCATGAGATGTTCTCTCTTCTTCGTGTGTGTCCCTTTGGGAGGTGTAACAGAACATCATTATTGGTCCTCGATTAATTCAGAACGTCACCAGTGTATAATATTCTCTTCCCAATCATTCGTACTGAATGATTTCTGCCCCTGAGTTTTGACTGAGCTGTGATTGGAATTGGGATTCAGGAGATGCTAACTAAAAATGCTTTCTTAAATACTGCTAGTATTCTGACACTGCAGGACAACTTAGGAATCATTTGTATAATCCTGTATTTAGTGTTCTCTTCATTTACTGAGCACAGCACTGTGTGAGAAATCCAGGGGCTTCCTGCACAATCTCTTTCTCATGTTCAGGGCTCACTAATCACCCAGACCTGCTCACCTGTGCAGCAGAACAAAGGGGCCTGGAAAGAGAGAGGAGACTGTGGCTAAGGATGCAGGTGTGGGGGAGGGGTTGGTGAAGGAGAGGAAGGGGTCAGGTGATGTGGAAGTGGAACAGGAAATCAGTTTGGTTACATCCTGTATCACTAGAAATAGCAGTCTAGACTTCCACTGAGAAAAACCTCAGGATTATCCTAATGTGGGCATGAGAACACTTTCTTCAGAACAATTGATAATGGAGTCAATAAAATTTTATTTGACCATGCATGTGAGCGATGCTGTCGTAATTCATTCATATTACTATGTTTTCATACCATTATTGAAGCATTTTCATCTATTTGACTTTAATATATTATTTTTATTTATTTTGTTTTGTTTTTCAAGACAGGGTTTCTCTGTGGCTTTGGAGGCTGTCCTGGAACTCACTCTGTAGACCAGGCTGGTCTCGAGCTTACAGAGATCCGCATGCCTCTGCCTCCCAAGTGCTGGGATTAAAGGCATGCGCCACCAATGCCTGGCTGACTTTAATGTATTATAAAAATGAGTAAATATTAATACTTTAGGTTTCTTGTTTTCAGATTTTGGGGCTTTTGGTATTCTAGTATGTTTTCTACCTTTAGTGGTTTTGTCTCCATTCCTGAAAATAATGGCATCAGGGTTTTGATAAGAATCAGGAAGTATATTTACAGCCTGCCACTCCATCTATCCTGGCTCCTGTTGTTTGTTGGAAATTCAGATAGATATTGAGAATGCAGTAAGGACTTGTGCTGACTTAGGAAGCAGTGGTTGTAGGCTCTCCTCCAGGATCCATACCTTTGCTAGCCCTGGGGAAACTGACTAGCTTTCCAGTAACAGGCATATTCTCCATCTTGTTGAGAGGGTCTTCATCCAGTTGGAAGCTGTTGGTCACTGCCACGGTATGTGTGCCACTCTTGCATCCTTAAGGATATGATACAGTGTAGATCATTGTTGTGGTTCATTGGTGTCATGGCTGGGTGTGACTGTTGGCTGGCTTCCTCCTTTAGGAGGTTGTGTGATGCCTTCTTGTGCCAGGAAAGCTAGGAAACAGGCACTTGAGGTCAGTTCCATTTCGAGTCATTCAGGATTTGTATCTGAAATGTGTGGCTTCTTCCACATTAGGGATCAACTTCTGCCTATGGGAGGCAACCATGGGAAACAGCAATACCCTGTAATGTTTGGAAGTCTCTTGGACAACTGTGACCAACAAGTTCAAAACAGGCTCTTTACACCTGGTGTTGGTTGTATGAGAAGCATCATCAGCCCAGTTGGGAAATGTTCATGTACATTCCAAATGTATATGCTTACAAAGACTTGTATGTATTATAGGCATTTTTTGGTGGATGGATAATTGTCAAGGAATAGATGGACTCATTATGAATTTTCCAGACATCTTTACTGTTATTTTACTCTCCTTGTTCTGTGTTTGTATTTGTCCATTCTCCATAATTAAATCCTCAACACTGTTTTTTTCTATTTCCCCTTCTGATCGTTTGCTTTCTACTATTCCTTTCTCTGTCACTCCCCCATATCCCACAGTGGTCTCCTTCCCCTATTCTGAATCCTACACTCACTCCACTTTTTGTACTGACATCTGAAGATCTGGAGGTGGGAACTTCCTATTAGAAAAAAAAACATACGTTGTCTGTCTTTCTGGGTTACCTCACTCAATATGATCTTTTCCAAGTCCATCAATTTACCTGAAAAGCTCATGGTCTCAATGTATTTACAACTGAATAATATTCCATTGTGTATGTCTACAATGTCAGTTGAAGGACATTTAGGTTGTTTCCATTGTGTAACTATTGTTAGAAGAGCAGCAATGAATGTAGCATGAATTCTAATTCCTAATAAAAACTTGGAGACAGATATTAGGAGATGAAAACTGAGAGATCAGAGAAGCAGAGTGGCCAGCCATTAGAAAGTTCTTACCTCTGCTAATGCTTAGACCAAAGGGGCCATCCTGTCCTCAGCCTGCTCCTCTAGACTGCACTGCTCCCCAGTCTGCTTCAGACTGACTGCTCAAGCTCCTGTCTCCTTCCTGTTTATAATCCCCTCTCTACCCAGCCATATCACTCCCGTCTCTGCCTCCCTAGTGCTTGGATTAAAGGCTTGTGATCCCATGTGCTAGGATCACTTTTCTGTGAGCTCTGTTTCTGTTTTAGGCTGGATCAATTTCATGTAGCCAACGGTGGCCTTGAAATAACTGGAATCTGTCTGCCTCTGTCTCCCAAGTGCCAGGGTTAAAGATGGGAGCCACCACTGCCTGGCCTCTATGGCTAGCTAGTGTGGCTAGGTCTGTGCTCTGATCCTCAAGCAAGCTTCCTTTTTACATCATAAACAAAATATCATGGCCAGGCAGTGGTGGCACACACCTTTTCCCAGCAGTCCGGCGACTGAAGCAGGTGGATCTTTAAGAGTTCAAGGCCAGCGTGGTCTACAGAGCTAGTTCCAGGGCAGCTAGGGCTACACAGAGAAACCCTGTCTCAAGAAAAAAAAAATCACCAGTTATGAACATGAGTGAGCAAGTGTCTGTGGGGTAAGATGTCAAGTCCTTTGAGCCTATACTGGGTCATGTGCTGAATTCATTTAACATGAGATTTTGTTTATTTAATTGAGCATTCTGTTTTGATTTTCAGTGTGGCTAGTTTTCTGTTCTGTTTTGGTTTGTTTTTTTTCCATGGCATTTTTATTTCCTGTGAGTTTGTTTTTATGTTGTTGCTGGTTGGATTATTGCTAGTGTTCTTTCTTTTTGAGAAACAGTGGTTTGCTGTCTTGCTCATGGATGATTATTTTCCAGTTCTCCTGTATTTATCTACTCTTCACATGAAGCTTATTATTTCTCATGTTCTCATGGAAGATTCCTCTGACTCTCCTGTGTATGTTTTGCCTCTAATTTATTATGTGCAGTGCTGCTTTATTGAAATCAGTTGTGTTGTTGGTGACTAGCTGGTCTCCATCAATTTTAAGAGAGTTGTGTTCTTGATGGTGATTTTTCTCTTCAAGCTTCAAATGTCTTTCCGTGCTCTCCTGTCCTTGGGGTCATTGACCAGACACCTGGTCATATTCTTTTTCCTGGGTCTTTTCATGTGGTTTCAGCATTACTTGTGCATTCTGACCCTTTATTTTATAGGGAAGAGAGCCATGTCTTCCTTAGTCCTGAAAGAGGAAATCAAAGAAGAGGAACAAGAAGAAATAGCTATTTCTCCAGCAAATACATCACAGGTCAGTGGTCCTTTCCGCTCTCTATCTAAATATATTCTACTTTCATAGATTAAAAGCCTTTAATTTTCTGCTTCTGATTTAAAATATTATTATGAAGAATTCTGCAAACAGACAAGCAATAAAATACCTCACTGCAATTAACCAGACCCAAAGACTATACAACTCAATGTTACTTTATACAGGTAGAGTTGACACAGGGCACAGAAGCTCTGGAGCCTCATGTGGGGTTTTATATTTCACAGTCGAATATATTTTAATTTGCTTATCCACCACTGAACCCCAGAAGCCTTTGCCAGAATTAGAACTAGAAAAGCACTTTGCTTTATATCATTTTCCATAACTGGTGTTCAATTACCTGCATTAAGTCCCTGATAATTTCACCTTCCTATTCTCTTCTCTCCAAGTTATATTGTACTCATACATACATGGTATATATGAAAGATTCTACATATATAGTATCTTTTTTCTAAACAGTGTATGACCGCACTCAATATTACCCGTTTTAGATCCACGCATTTTCCTGCAAATTTTTGTTTCATTGTTCGCTTTAGCTGAATGGTACTTCATATTATACAGTTTTCATTTTACATTCATCTGTTGATAGATAATCAGATTGACTCCAGTAATTTTCCTTTGCTAATAAAACAGCAGTACACATAGTATATAAATATCTCTGTAGTAGGGGGTTCCGTTCCCTAGGTATATGGCCAGGAGTGAAAAAAATGGGTCAACTGTTAGTTCTTACTTCCATTTTGTTTTCAATCATCTCCAAACAGATTCCCACAAAGGCTGTGTTAATTTGCACCCTCTCTTCCATCAGCAGTGAATAGGGCTTCCTATCCCTGCATGTGCCATCGAGCACTTACTGCCAGGTCCATTGATCACAGCTGTTCTGTCTGGGATGAGGCAGTATTTCCAAGTTGTAACTGTTGTTATTTTGTTTACATTAGAAGGCACGGGATGGAACACAAACCAAGAGATACCTTAACCGTAGAGTTATTAAAGGGCAGGGAGTGCGAGAGGGGGAGAAGAGAGAGAGAGATAAGGGAGAGAGGTAAGAGAAGAGTGAAGGAACCTGAGAGAGGGGAAGGGGGAGAGGAGAGAGAGAGGAAGAGAGAGAGAGAGAGAGAGAGAGAGAGAGAGGAGGCTTACAGTGAGAGAGTAAGTGGGCGTGGTCTGTCCTTTAAAGGGAGGGATCCTTTACACCTGTGTGCAGACTAGTTCTCATGGAACTCTGGGCTGGCCAGAGAACTGCCTGAGTGCATTCTGCCAGGTAACCGGGGCAGGCCAGTATGATGTCTGAACCTTTCAGTAACACAAATTAATAAAAGACCCAGAGACTGATATTGATGTTCAAACTTCAAGCTGAATATCAGGGAAGCAAAGTGGCTGGCCACTAGCTTCTTACCTCTACCTCAGGCTGAATGGGCTGATCCCATCTGCTCGAGCTCTCACCAAGCCTCAGACCAGAACCTCTCCTCAGCGTGACTGAAGAATGAATACCTCCTAGTGACTTTTTGTTCCTGTCTTTTATACCTCTCTAGTGCTAGGGTTAAAGGTGTGAGCTATAATGCTCTTTTAGGCTGATCCAGTCTTGTGTAGATCTGGGTGGCCTTGGACTCATGGAGATCCGTCTACTTCTTAATCCTGAGTCCTAGGATTAAAGTTGTGTATCATCACTTCCCAACCTCTACAACTTGTGGCTGACTTTGCTTTTCTGAATCCTCAGTCAAGCTTTAATAAATCATAAATAATATATCACCATACCAAGTACTTTTACTTTGTGTTTCCATGGTGGCCTTTTTTGGACTCCTGAGATCTTTGTAATGTTTATTGGTCATTTGCAGTTTTATTTTCTATGTATTTAATTAATTTTTGGTAAATTATTGTTTATGATCTACAAAAAGCCACTGGACATCAAAATGCAAAGCCAACCACACTAGTTAGCTATAGAAACTGGGCAGTGGTGGCAGACATTTTTAATTCCAGGACTCAGGAGACAGAGGCAGATGGATCTCTGTGAGTTCAAGGCCACCCAGGGCTACAGGAGAATGTATCAGTCTAAAAAGACAAACAGCTCACACAGAGGTGATCTCAGCACTTGGGATCCCATGCCTTTAATCCCAGTATTTAAGAAGCTCAGGGCAGTCTCAAAGGGCAGTCTAGGATTCTGAGATTCGGAGGCAGTCTGCATTACACTCTGAGGATTCGGGGAGACAGGATCACCCATTTCAGTCTGAAGTACAGTGCTAGTGGCTGGCTGCTTTGCTTCTCTCATCTTCAGCTTGAACCCTAATATCTCTCTTTGGGTTTTTATTTTTTTGTGTTTCAGTAAAGTGTTGCTATGACCCTTATTCAGAATTTCACTGGTACAGATTCTCTTAGCTATACCTTAGACATTTTTTGATGTATCATTTGGAGTTCCCTCAATTTTTTATATGCTTTGGGAGTGAAGTGAAATATTCTTTGGAACTTCTGAAATTGTTATTTGTCTCTGTATGACTTAGGCATATTCTTTGGAAAATTTTGAGTTATATCAAATGTGGCTGATGCCAATTTTTCTATCTGTTGGTAGTGACCAAAATATTCTCATAAAATTAATTCCATTGGCTACTTATATGACAATGTTAAAATTTACAGTATGCAGAACTGTTATAATCCTTGCTACTGTGGGAAAAACTAAAATGCTTGTCTATAAAATCAGTCATATATTCTGTTTCCCATACCTACCTCTTTGCTATGTAATGGTGTGGCATTTTATCTAGAGTTTAAACATCAAATCTAAGCCTGTTACAATACAGTCATGTAAGGCCCAAGTAAAAACAGGATAGATATATGTTAGTGTTTTAGCATGATCTACAGGTACAGCATTTAAAGCACATTTTCTCATCATGAATTTTCCTTCTGAGACATGTACACTGTGATCCTGTGGGACATAAACACAGCATCCATAGCAGATAGATAAATTGTCCAGACCTTAAATGTACTTCTAGTTTTCTGTATACTACTTGTAAGACTATTGTTTCATCCTGCTTTCACAGAGGAAAATGTAAAATGCATTCATGATAAAATGTGACTGCACTGGAAATCATATTTTTGAGTAACTGTCTTCGCTCGTATATATTCCATTTCCATATACCTAGGAAAGCACTTCCAGGTAGCTCTTGGTCAAACCATACATTTTTTTTTATTTCAGGGTGTGTTGACATTTGGGGATGTGTCTGTGGACTTCACACCGGAGGAGTGGCAATGCCTGGACTCTGCTCAGAGGGCTTTGTGCATTGATGTGCTGTTGGAGAATTATAAGAACCTGATCTATGTGGGTGAGGATGTTTTACTTGTAGAATTCATAACCTATCTTCTGTTTGTTCTGATAGCATAGGATATAAAATCTGTTAAGCTGTGCTGAAAAAAAAAAAGCAAGAGTCAAGGCATAGGGAAGAACATTGTCGTGCTATTTAGTTTTCTCTTTCCATTTTCCATTTCAGAGTTCATTTTAGTTCCAACATTTTAATGAGAGCATTCAGGTTCCAGCCTCAGTGCTCTCTCAGGGTCCAGGCTAGGGACTATGAAGTAAGTGGGTCAGGAAATTCCAAAAGGAGTCTGGGGGTGAGAGGGAAATAAACGGGCTCACACACTCGTCCTCTCGTGGATCTTTATTCTTCAAAGATGGAGGCGTCCCAAAAAGGCTCTCTCTCAAGAGCTCTCCTTAAGATTTCTCTTTAAAAGCTCTTTAAAACTCTCTAAAATTCTTTCTAAAATGTCTCCAAAAGTTCCTTCTTCTAAATGTTCTCCTGAGGTCTCTTTTTATCCCACAAGGCTTCTAGTTTTTATACCCATAGGGACTTGTAACAACTCTCTGACAATAGGGCATGTATCTTTCTCAGCCAGGAAAGCAGGTAAGATCTCGAGAAAAGGGACTGGAGAGATGGCTCAGAGATTAGGAGCACTGGCAGCTTTTCCAGAGGTCCTGAGCTCAATTCTCAGCAACCACATGGTGGCTCACAGCCATCTGTAAATGAGATCTGGTGCCCTCTTCTGACCTGCAGGCACACATGCAGGCATAACACTGCATACATAATGAATGAATGAATGAATGAATGAATGAATGAATCTTCAAAATAAATTCTTTAAAAAAAAGATCTTGAGAAAAACAGGTGCCTCACGTCTGTCCCCTGGACATGTCTTGTAAAGCATCCTGGCAAACTTATGCTATATCAAAGGGAAAACTAAGGCTGTATAGTGTGAGATCCAGAGGCTGCAGCTCTTACACCCTGGTGAGAACTAATTTCCTTTCTCTGGGGCCTATTCAAGAATACAAAGCACCCAGGATATATTCTACATACAGCCAAATTCATAGTAACACATATTCTGGAGTTGATGCCTAGACTATTAATTGCTACTTCTGTAATAAATGATAAAGGCTTTCAACATCTCAACCTTTTTCAGTTTATTAAAAAAGAGTATGTAGATAACTGAGTGGGTAGAGCATGAGAATCTTAATCTCAGGGTCATGGATTCAGGCCACACATTGGACACCATTTTGTAGTCAGAAGTTTCTGTTCCTCCTGGTCCCACCACCCTTCAGGCCCAAATAAACACACAGAGACTTAAGTAAAAACTGTCTGGCCAGTGGATCAGGCTTCTTGTTGGCTAGTTCTCTCTTAATAGATTCTCTCCTTGGGCAGTGTATACTGTGGATAAATATAAGTCTGAAGATGACTTTAGAATAATTGATTAATACATTGCTGGGGTTATTTGGGATAAATCCCATTACGGAAAAGGGGAGTGCTATGTCTTCACAAGGGTTCTACAGAGATGACAGTGACTATTCAAAAGGCAGGTTTCCCCAAGGGTTTGCCAGTGGGGTTTCCTCCATCGGAAATGATGATCTCCCTGGGTCAGCCTATGGTTTTGTCAAGTGAAATCTCATTGTTTAATCCCTGAGGCCTGGAACAATTCCCCATATTTCATTCAATAAATGCAGTGTATAAATTTGTCTCTGTGCACTGCATGTGGCAGACCCTATGCATTTGAGGACTGGAATAAAAAAATGAAAGTAAAAACATTAGTATTCCTATAATTCCCAAATTGGTAAGAAGGTTTCCTAAGGAGCTATTACTAACAGAATTTTTAACTGAATTAACAAAGTAATTAACTACATCCTCTGTGGAGGAAAGCTGGAGCCTGGAATGGCCAATGGTATTGATCTGAGAATGTAAAGTACCCAAGTCTATGCCTGGCTGGGAACTATTCTAAACACCTCTCAAGTGAGCCTGTACCTGATCCCATGACATTTCTGAGCCATGATGTTGTTAAATGTGTCTAAAAGCTGTAATTTTGAGTTATCAAAAGAGGAATGTTAGTTTAATCTATTAATTTTTGATCAATTGTATTAAATTATTTAATCTTTATATTGGTGAAGCATTGTTAGATAAAGAGTTTACCTAAGTTAAATTTGGAATCAAGGCAATAATAAACTATTTAGCTATGAGAGGGCATTAACAACTGTCTCGAAAAATTCATAGCAAAATTTTCACCGAAGCAATTATCAGAGATACATAAGGATAATGTCTGATAGCATATATATTACAGGATCAGGTTGGAATCTATGCAACTAGCAATAGAACATTTTCTAAAGTCAGTTCAGCCCCTGGACTGTAGAGTTCAATATAGCAAATAGAAAGGGGGGGTGGTAAGTGACATAGAAGGCCCTCATGGTTGCTCCCTATTCATATGGGGTGAAGTTGAGAGTCCTGAAGGCTGGAACACAGTGGAAACCCAGGAAGAGCAGACTGTGAGGCATGCAGGCAGCTTTGGATCAGTCTTTGTCCCAAGAATGCAATAGGGTCCCTCTGGAGTGACAGTTGGAGATAAGGGCACGGGGCTGTAGCAAGGCTGTGGTCAGAGGAAGAGCAATCTGTAACACTTTAAATGATTACAAATGGTGGAATAAATATATATTAATGACAGAACATGAAGTTAGGAAATTTTCTCTTCAGGGCATGCACATTTGAAAATTTTAAGTGCTCAGATTTTGCAGAAGAGAGAAGAGCAATTCAGGCCAGGGAGAGGGGGAAACTTCCTCCTCCCCCCAATAGGCAGGGGGGAAACAAACTTTAGATGAGTAGTACTTATCTGAGTTTATTATGACCTGTGATGATGGAGGATCCAAGTTGATCTCTTGAGGCTTATTACCTTTCTTAAGGGGCAAAAAATGTTAGATATATCAGGTTATTATCATTTGTAGTATGTATGTTATTAAAGAGGCAAGGAGTTTGAAAACCAAAAATAATTTTGGTTAGAAGAAGTAATATTCCCTTTCCTGTTCAGAAGGCTATATGTATATAAGTTAAACAGATGTCTCTGTTAAATTCAGAAGAATTTTTAAGTTTTACATTTAAAAAATGTTCAAAAGGAATATAAAAATACTACGCTTGTGGCTAAACAGTAAATCTAGTTGTACCTTTATAGGGGCAATGATTATAGATATTAAATTTAGATTCGGATATTGTCTTTGGACAAGACTAACTTGGAGAATTGACCCTGTCCTTTAAACAGATAAAGGAAGACAACCGACTCCAAAGTATATATAATTAAAATAGAACCCTGGCAGAAACTAGAACAAGGCATAGTTCTCCTTACCAGGAGAAGTTAAAACATCTTAAATGGCAAGGAGCTTTGTAGGCTTCAACGGATGCTGTAACGATACGCGACACACAATTACTGAAAGTAAAGCTAAGTATTTAATGTAGAAATACTCACAAGATACCAAACAAGTAACCCAGACGATACAAGCCGTTTCCTCTGCCGAGCCGGAAGCTGAACTCCAGGAAAAGAGACCGAGACTTCCTGTGTGCTGTCTTTTATACCTTCCTCCGTAACGCCCCCTAGCCATGCCCAAAAGTGGGCCTGGCTAGTGACGTAGTTCCGCCTACGTACATATACGTCTTTACGTCCAGCCGTATACGTCTTTAGTCCTGCCTAAAGTGGGTGTGGTTAGCGGTGTGGTAAACTGCCCTTTTATTACCTCATCTGTATGCGCCTCTAATAAGTCACATGTTTAATGGCGGCATCAGACTTCCTCCTACAGAGCTTAAGTAAGGAATTATTTATATCAATAACAATATGTTTATAAATATGGTTTTTAATATGTATATAGAACATAAGAGAATATATTCAAAGATTCATTGAATATATTTGAATAATATTTATAAGATCAGTCAGTAATCTGTGTTTTTTAATTAATAGATTATAGATTAAGTAAAATTTTAATTAATAAATTGTATAGTTTGTAGTTGAAGTAAATTTATTTATTTATTTTTATTTATTTATTTTTTGGCTTTTCGAGACAGGGTTTCTCTGTATTGTTTTGGAGGCTGTCCTGGAACTCACTCTGTAAACCATGCTGGCCTCGAACTCACAGAGATCCACCTGCCTCTGCCTCCCAAGTGCTGGGATTAAAGGCATGCGCCACCAATACCTGATGAAGTAAATTTATTTTTAAGTTTATTTTTTATAAATTAATTATATATTTATATAACACACATGTCACATTATATAAATATATATTTATGCATGTATAGAATAAAAATACAATAATTAACAAAATTATCCAAAAGTTATTCAGACAATTAATCATTAGGCTTGTATTTCTTAATTATCTTTAGTAGTTTATGATTTAAAGCTATTGTTAACAGTTCATAAGTTAGCTATCTTATTAACTTGGAACTTTATGCTTTTTTGTTTTTTTTTGTTTTTTGTTTTTTGTTTTTTTTTCGAGACAGGGTTTCTCTGTGGCTTTGGAGGCTGCCCTGGAACTCACTTTGTAGACCAGGCTGGCCTCGAACGGAACTTTATGTTTTATCTCTGTTAAATTTAGCCTAAAAAATAATGATCAAGTTATCTTAATATGGAAACAAAAGCTCTTAAACAGAAATACAATATATATATTGAGACTCTTAACCAGAAATGAGAAGACTCTGAATTAGAAATATAAAATATAAGGAGATTGGTAATTACCAATCTTTTGAAATGCATCATAAACAATCAGGAAATTAAAAAGACCAAAACAGCTGCTTTATGGGTAAAGGAAGAAAAGTATTTTAAATTGTTATGGAGATTCTAGGGTAACAGAGAGGTCATGTGAAGTCAGACATGTAATAGGAAGGCAAAGAAACCGATGAAGAAATAGGTCCTTAGTGTTAGGATGAGAGATATTTTTTTATAGTTAAGTGGAATCTGTACAGTTCGGACTTTAGACAAAAGGGAGCAGCACTTTTAGGAGCCCTCTGGCAGCCCAGAACAGAAGGCCTGAGGGGGATGGGCCGAGACATAGACAGCCAGGTGGGAGAGTGCAGATAATTAGACACAGAGAGCAGGGGTGAACCTAGAAACCCTGTAGAATTTTTGCAAACCCTAGAGAAAGGGTACTGTCTCCATGACTTTGACCAGGTCAACAGAAGAAGATTTGTTGGCTGTTGTAAGAATCATTTGAGATTTTTTTCTTTGTTTGTTTTTTAAAGACCTATCTGCTGGGCTGGAGAGATGGCTTAAAGGTTAAGAGCACTGGCTGCTCTTCCAAAGGTCCCGAGCTCAATTCCCAGCACCCACATGGTGGCTCACAACCACCTATAATGAGATCTGGTATCCAGACATACATGCAGGCAGAATACTGTATACATAATAAATAAGTAAATTTTAAAAAAACAATGTTTAAAAAAAAGATTTATGTGCTTATTATGTATACAGTGTTCTGTCTGCAACATGTTCCTGCAGGTCAGAAGAGGGAGCCAGATCTCAGTACAGATGGTTGTGAGCCACAAAGTGGTGCCTGGCAATGGAACTCAGGACCTCCGGAAGAGCAGCAAGTGCTCTTAACCTCAGAGCCATCTCTCCAGCCCCTCAGCTGAGCTTTTAAAGCAGCTGGAAAAGTCTGTTTAAGCAGCTCAACCTTATGCTAACAGCTTGTTAGTGAAACTTACTCTATTATTTAAATGAGGAGCAGCAGGAGCACCAAGCAGCCAGGCAGGTCAGAGATTTAAGGCAGAATTTAACTCTTTAGCTCTGGTCAGCAAGGAAAGCCATCTGGAACAGGCAGGGATCCGAAATGGGGGACCATGGCAAACATTGTTGATGTTTTTAGGTGGCCTTGTTGAATGATTAGGTAGACATAACATGGAACACCAATTAGGATTGTCAAATATTGCTGCTCCTCTGTTAGACCATGAGTGAAATAGCAGCTCTGTCCCTACAAGAGTGAGCACAGAAACTCTAATAACTGATTCCTTCTCTTGAGCCATTACTCTTAACAATTGACTGTTGCATTGTAGATTTTGTTTGACCTTTACTAAGAAGGAAAATTATATAAAAAGAGCACTTAAAGAGGGCTGAGGGGAAAAAGTTAGTCATCCTTAACAAAGCATTTAAGTCAGTAAAATCAGAAGCATTTGATCAGTGGGGGCTGTCTGAGAAGCAGCCAATTAGGAAGTGTCTCTGGGAAACTTCCAGAAGGGACCTTTTGAGGTGCCTTGGAAGAGGGTTAAGGGAAATTTTGCTTTTACTCGACTCCCCAACCCCCCAAACAAAAACATCCTGGCAAACAAGTCTCAACATGGATGTGACTTGCAGTTCATGGTGTTATCTGGTTAAAGGGGGTTTCTCAGTGCTATATCAAAGAGGAAAACTTACTGCTGACCCCAGCCCAATGAGAACAAATTTCCTTTCTCCTGGACCTATTTGAAAATACAAATCACCTAGTATATATTCTACATACAGCAAATATTCTGGAGGTGACACCTAGAATATTAATTTTTGCTACTGCTATAATAAGTGCTAAAGGCTCTTAACAAGATTTACCCATGAACTCAGTAGCATATAATATTTCTACTCATATCTTAAAGCTCCATATCTGTTATTACACCTGACATGGTGTTAATTGTGAGGGAAATTCAAGACAAACACACGGAAACTACGAAATATACTGTAAAACTTGACAGGAAATATCAGCCAGGAAATCTTGCCTAAATTCCTCGCTTTGTTTTTAATGTACCAAGCACAGTACTGTGTTAGACTTCTGTATTCTTTCTAAAATGGGCATTATTGTATGCAAGGTAATTGTGATCACCTGTCTGGGAAGAATAAGATTGCCCATGATCGCCCTGCCTCAAATGATCTAGAGCCTCTGATATCTGGAAGAGTACTCTCTTTACATCCATTACTCTTGAAGAATCTAATGTGTTTTTCTAGAGAGAAATATAAACCCTTTGATGATTTTAAGTAAGATTTTACTCTTTTAAAGGAATTGTGTCTTGTGAGCAGTACTCTTCATTGCCTATCATTAGTAAATATAAATACTGTGACCTGTGATTGGATGAAACTTCTCTTCCTCAATTTAAAATAAGACATAATTAAAGATACAGACACATATTCTATGTAAATCACTCAGTGAGCTCTATCCTGCAGATAATTCACAGCCATCAATTATTTTTTCATCTTTTTCCAGTTAGAGATTATTGAGAAAGATGGGATATGTGTTATAACTCACTGACCTTTGAGGGCTGCCACGCTGTGTTTGTGAGAATCCATACAGTTACAGTAAATGAAAAATGTCCATTACTGTGAGCTGTAATCTAACTAGTTCCATGTTCACTTACATTAAATGACAACTTAGGGAGACAGTCATTTATCACATGTTTTGTTTTTTTATTGGAACAAACCCTATTAATCTGAAATATTCTCATTTTCAGAGAAGTATTGCAAGTATCATCCTGTACATATCCATGTGAAGACTGAAAATGAATCTTGTCAGTGTGATGAGCTTGGCAAAGTGCTTCATGACCCCTCCACATGTGCACTTCATAGAACAAGTGAATCTACAGAAAACTCTAATAACTACACATGCAGTAGTCACAGGGATGCCTTTGTTGACTCATCAAACCCAGACAGATATGAAAGCATGGGTACCGGAGAAGAACCTTGCCAGTCTCAAGACTGTGAAACATCTATAACTTTGTGTTCCAACATTACTCAAGATCAGAGAGTCTACACTTCAGAGAAAGAGCAGAGGCAGGAAGAACATAATGACTCTTTAAGCTCTGCACACCGTGTTGTGCAACAACCAGTCAACATTGGAGAGGCACCACACCAATGTAGGGTATGCAGGAAATGTTTCAGGACTGCCTCATGCCTCACTGAACATCAAAAGATTCATACTGGAATTACACCCTACAAAGGCAACATTTGTGAAAAATCCTTTAACCAGTGTTCAGGTCCGAAAATACATCAAAATGTTTTGTCTTGGGAGAAAACTTACAAATGTATGGAATGTGACAAGTCCTTTACCCAGAGCTTACAACTTAAAGCACATCAGAGAAGTCATACCAGAGAGAGACCATTCGGTCAGGAATGTGACAAGTCCTTTACACATGACTCACAATTTAGAAGTCGTCAGATAGGTCCTACTGGAGAGAGACCTTGCAGTCAGGAAAATGACAATTCCTTTACCAGTTGCTCAGATCTTAGAAGACATGAGAGAATTCCACCTGGAGAGAGACCTTGCAGTCAGGAATGTGACAAATCCTTTACCAGTTGCTCAGATCTTAGAAGACATGAGAGAGTTCCTACTGGAGAGAGACCTTGCAGTCAGGAGTGTGACAAATCCTTTACACATGACTCACAACTTAGAAGTCGTCAGATAGTTCCTACTGGAGAGAGACCTTGCGATCAGGAAAATGACAATTCCTTTACCAGTTGCTCAAATCTTAGAAGACATGAGAGAGTGCCTACTGGAGAGAGACCTTGCAGTCAGGAATGTGACAAGTCCTTTACACATGACTCACAACTTAGAAGTCATCAGAGAGTTCCTACTGGAGAGAGACCTTGCGATCAGGAAAATGACAATTCCTTTACCAGTTGCTCAGATCTTATAAGACATGAGAGAGTTCCTACTGGAGAGAGACCTTGCAGTCAAGGAAATGACAAATCCTTTACACATGACTCACAACTTAGAAGTCGTCAGATAGTTCCTACTGGAGAGAGACCTTGCAGTCAGGAAAATGACAATTCCTTTACCAGTTGCTCAGATCTTAGAAGACATGAGAGAGTTCCTACTGGAAAGAGACCTTGCAGTCAAGGAAATGACAAATCCTTTACAGATGACTCACAACTTAGAAGTCATCAGAGAGTTCCTACTGGAGAGAGACCTTGCGATCAGGAAAATGCCAAATCCTTTACCAGTTGTTCAGATCTTAGAAGACATGAGAGAGTTCCTACTGGAGAGAGACCTTGCAGTCAGGAGTGTGACAAATCCTTTACACATGACTCACAACTTAGAAGTCATCAGAGAGTTCCTACTGGAAAGAGACCTTGCAGTCAGGAGTGTGAAAAATCCTTTATACATGACTCACAACTTAGAAGTCGTCAGATAGTTCCTACTGGAGAGAGACCTTGCAGTCAGGAAAATGACAATTCCTTTACCAGTTGCTCAGATCTTAGAAGACATGAGAGAGTTCCTACTGGAAAGAGACCTTGCAGTCAAGGAAATGACAAATCCTTTACAGATGACTCACAACTTAGAAGTCATCAGAGAGTTCCTACTGGAGAGAGACCTTGCGATCAGGAAAATGACAATTCCTTTACCAGTTGCTCAGATCTTAGAAGACATGAGAGAGTTCCTACTGGAAAGAGACCTTGCAGTCAGGAATGTGACAAGTCCTTTACACATAACTCACAACCTAGAAGTCATCAGAGAGTTCCTACTGGAAAGAGACCTTGCAGTCAGGAAAATGCCAAATCCTTTACCAGTTGCTCAGATCTTATAAGACATGAGAGAGTTCCTACTGGAGAGAGACCTTGCAGTCAGGAGTGTGACAAATCCTTTACACATGACTCACAACTTAGAAGTCGTCAGATAGTTCCTACTGGAGAGAGACCTTGCGATCAGGAAAATGACAATTCCTTTACCAGTTGCTCAGATCTTAGAAGACATGAGAGAGTTCCTACTGGAAAGAGACCTTGCAGTCAGGAATGTGACAAGTCCTTTACACATAACTCACAACCTAGAAGTCATCAGAGAGTTCCTACTGGAGAGAGACCTTGCAGTCAGGAAAATGCCAAATCCTTTACCAGCTGCTCAGATCTTAGAAGACATGAGAGAGTTCCTACTGGAGAGAGACCTTGCAGTCAGGAGTGTGACAAATCCTTTACAGATGACTCACAACTTAGAAGTCATCAGAGAGTTCCTACTGGAGAGAGACCTTGCAGTCAGGGAAATGACAAATCCTTTACAGATGACTCACAACTTAGAAGTCATCAGAGAGTTCCTACTGGAGAGAGACCTTGCAGTCAGGAAAATGACAATTCCTTTACCAGTTGCTCAGATCTTAGAAGACAAGAGAGAGTTCCTACTGGAAAGAGACCTTGCAGTCAAGGAAATGACAAATCCTTTACAGATGACTCACAACTTAGAAGTCATCAGAGAGTTCCTACTGGAAAGAGACCTTGCAGTCTGGAAAATGGCAAATCCTTTACCAGTTGCTCAGATCTTAGAAGACCTGAGAGAGTTCCTACTGGAAAGAGACCTTGCAGTCAGGGAAATGACAAATCCTTTACACATGACTCACAACTTAGAAGTCGTCAGATAGTTCCTACTGGAGAGAGACCTTGCAGTCAGGAAAATGACAATTCCTTTACCAGTTGCTCAGATCTTAGAAGACATGAGAGAGTTCCTACTGGAAAGAGACCTTGCAGTCAAGGAAATGACAATTCCTTTACAGATGACTCACAACTTAGAAGTCATCAGAGAGTTCCTACTGGAAAGAGACCTTGCAGTCAGGGAAATGACAAATCCTTTACACATGACTCACAACTTAGAAGTCGTCAGATAGTTTCTACTGGAGAGAGACCTTGCAGTCAGGAAAATGACAATTCCTTTACCAGTTGCTCAGATCTTAGAAGACAAGAGAGAGTTCCTACTGGAAAGAGACCTTGCAGTCAAGGAAATGACAAATCCTTTACAGATGACTCACAACTTAGAAGTCATCAGAGAGTTCCTACTGGAAAGAGACCTTGCAGTCTGGAAAATGGCAAATCCTTTACCAGTTGCTCAGATCTTAGAAGACCTGAGAGAGTTCCTACTGGAGAGAGACCTTGCAGTCAGGAAAATGACAAATCCTTTACACATGACTCACAACTTAGAAGTCATCAGAGAGTTCCTACTGGAGAGAGACCTTACAAATGTAAGGAATGTGACAAATCCTTTACCCGGGAGACACACCTTAGAACACATCAGAGGGTTCATACTGGCGAGAAACCTTATAAATGTATGCAATGTGACAAATCCTTTACCTGGAACTCACAACTTAGAAGCCATCAGAGTGCTCACACTGAGGAAAAACACTACAAATGTATGGAATGTGACAAGTCCTTTACACATGACTCACAACTTAGAAGTCATCAGAGAGTTCATACTGGAGAGACACGTTACAGTTGTCAGGAATGTGACAAATCCTTTACCAGTTGCTCAGATCTTATCAGACATGAGAGAATTCATACTGGAGAGAGACCTTACAAATGTATGGAATGTGATAAATCCTTTACGCGGGACACACATCTTAGGACACATCAGAGGGTTCATACCGGGGAGAAACCTTACAAATGCATTAAATGTGACAAATCCTTTACCTGGAACTCACAACTTAAAAGACATCGGAGTGTTCATACTGAGGAGAACCCTTACAACTCTGTGGAACGTGGCAAGTCCTTTACCCAAGACACACAACTTAAAACACATCAGAGACTTCATACTAGAGAGAGACCTTACAGTTGTCAGGAATGTGACAAATCCTTTACCAGCTGCTCAGATCTTAAAAGACATGAGAGAGTTCATACTGGAGAGAGACCTTACAAATGTATGGAATGTGACAAGTCCTTTACCCGGGACACACACCTTAGAACACATCAGAGGGTTCATACTGGGGAGAAACCTTACAAATGTATGGAATGTGACAAATCCTTTACCTGGAATGCACAATTTAGAAGACATCAGCGTGTTCACACTGGGGGGAAACCTTACAACTCTGTGGAATGTGACAAGTCCTTTACAAAGGACTCGAATCTTAGAACACGTCAGAGAGTTCGTACTGGAAAGAAACCTTACAGTTGTCAGGAATGTGATAAATCCTTTGTCTGTTGCTCAGATCTGAAAAGACATGAGAGAGTTCATACTGGAGAGAGACCTTACAAATGTAAGGAATGTGGCAAATCCTTTACCAGGGACACACATCTTAGAACACATCAGAGGGTTCATACTGGGGAGAAACCTTACAAATGTATGGAATGTGACAAGTCCTTTACCTGGAACTCACAATTTAGAAGCCATCAGAATGTTCACAATGGGGGAAAACCTTACAAATGTATGAAATGTGAGAAGTCCTTTACCAAGCTGTCACTTCTCATAATACATCAGAGAGTTCATACTGGAAAGAGACCTTGCAGTTATAAGGAATCAGACAAAGTTTTTACCAGTTGCTCAGATCTTAGAGGACATCAGAGAGTTCATATTAGGGAGAAACCTTACAAAGATTCACTATTTGACAAACCCTTTTCCCGGAACACAAATCTTAGAACATATGAGAGAGTTCATACTAAAGAGAGACTTAGCAGTAGTAAGGAATGTGACAAATCCTTTAGTAGGTTCAAAAATCTTAGAACATATCAGAAAATTCATACTGGAAATAAAATTTCCAAATGCAAAGACTGATGTGTCCTATATCCACATTACATGTCTTAGGAGACATTAGGAAATTCATACTAGAGAGAAAAACACCATTGTAAATTATGTGACATAGCATTTTATTGTATTCTCTGCTTACAAAGTACAACAGTATATACAATAGGAAGATAAAGATAAGAAACTTGTAGAAACCTTTAATGAAGTTTAAATCTTAGAAAATATCACATAGTTTGGGCCAGATTACAATTCTCCCCATGTTACTGTGGTAAAATCCCACTTCTTTTACTGTGTGTGTGCTTTGTCTGCTTGTCTTGCTGGCACGATATACAGGTATGGTGCAGGCAGAGGCCAGAATGGTCATCAGATGCCCTAAAGCTGTAATTACAGATAATTGTGAGCTGCTGGGTGTGTGTTGGGAATCGAACCCCTGTCCTCTGAAAGAACACCCCAAGGATCTTAAACACTAAGTGATATCTCCAGCCCCTGGGAACAGCTGTCATAAAAACATTTATCTTGTTAAACATCCAAAAATTCATAACTGTGTCAGGCATGATGGTGCCTTCAATTCTTCACTCAGAAGACAGGAATAGTAGGATCTCTAAGTGTGAGGCCATCCTCATCAACATAGTAAGTTCCATGACACATATGATTACATGAACCCTGTCTCTAAAAAAGAAAAAAATCATGAGGACAAAATGTAATGACATAAAAATGTTAACAGGCCTTAGTTTTGTCTCTAATTTTGCTGTGAATCACAAAATTCATCTTCTGATCAAGCTTATCTTTATAATTCATTTCTGGCTGGTCATTGAAAGTTCCATCACCGGAATGCATTCGATTTAACAAATCCTTTACCTAATTCTAAATTGTATGCCTTAACAACAACAAAATTAACGGGTGGCCCTGCCCGGGTTAGATCGACCAGGAAGAGGAAGACAAGCACTGCATTGAGACTTTGTGCACTATACCGTGTATCATGGGAGCTTGCACGCAGTAGATGTCGGCTCTTTAACCGATAAAGTGGAGAAGATGCGGAACAACTTAAAACAGGTGCCAGGCTCTGTTGAGCCATGAAGGAGGATGCCACACCTAGTGTATGGGATGAACTCCAGCAGGTGTCTGTCTGACAAAGAGAAAAGCATCCGTCTGGGAGAGTCCACTCCCCAGCAGCAGGGAAGTCCCTTACGAGAAACGTTACCTTACAGCTGGGACTCAGCCCTTCAAAAAACCTTTTCAAGACAAAACCAAAACTATGCTGTGGAGATCTCGCAGATTGTTGAAATAAGCATTGAGAAAGACCAATGACTCGAATGCCACCCAGGAACAAAGCTTCCTCAAAGAGTCTCCTACTCTCAACACCCCCCATGGGGAGGGAAGGAGAAGCATTCCCTTTCCATAAAAGAGCCAGAGTTCATTGAATACTGAGAGGAAGTTTGGTAGAACGTGAAGCAGCCTTAGAGGAGACAGGCACTGTGGAGTCCTTTGGTCGGGAGCCCTCTCTGAGGCAGAGGCTCCAGGACACTGTGGGTTTGTGTTTCCCTGTGAGACCTTACAGCAAGCAGTCAAAACCTCTCTTTCCAATAAAAGAAAATTTCACCTCTCTGAATTAATTCTGGAGAAATGCACTTTTCCTGCTGCCTCAGGAGGGCCATTGGATTAAACAGCATACAACTCCTGTGAGCCCACATCCAACATTTTTTGACACATTTGATCCGTCACTGGTGCTTCCAGAAGATTAAGATGGGCCCTGAGAGAGAAGATGTCTTAGTATTGAAGAAGTGGTGAATCCTGCTCCCAATGCCACAAATGCACACATTTGAAGCTGCTGCATAGGTCAATCCATTGTACGAACTGGGACCAAAGTTGGCCCCCTGGGATGATGGAAATAAGTGGTGATGGTTCTTCAGTACCACAAAGGAATTGTGACTCAACCACCCTGTCCCTGCAGTCATGGAGACAGAAGCAGCACCCGGTGTCCTGGTAACTCCCCTTGCATGTTAGCTGACAGGGAGCTTGGGAAGTTCATAAGCAGATCAGTTTCGTTCTGTGCCTTGTGCCGGGTTTGCTTCAGATCACAGGGCATCCCTGTTACTGGGGTGTGATGCACCAATAGGAAGCAGAAATCATTCTACAAGGGAGACCCGAAGGCACGTTTTTGTTCAGGGACTCTGCTCAGGAGGACTTCCTCCTCTCTGGGAGCTTCAGCGGCATCAACAGATCCCTGCATGCCTAACTCGAACAGTGGAACCACAACTTAAGCTTTGATGCCCTGACCCTTGTGAGTTTCACTCCTCGACTGTCACTGGGCTTCTGGAACATTATAAAGACCCATCTGTTGCATGTTTTTTTTTTTAAAGCATTGCTTATGATATCACTGAATAAGACTTTTCTCTTCAGCCTGCAGTGTTCCTGCCCTGCAGTGATCTGCAGGGCACTATGTATGAGGGGATTGGTGGAATCCCTCTGCCATCAGTCTTACAGGATTTTTTTAAAGAGTAGCACTATAAACAGAAAGTTGGGGTTTGCTGGTTAGAGAGAGAACCAATCAAGGCAAAGTAACCTCTGTCCCCTAGTTGCTCTCTTGTGTATCAGACAGTACAGTCACAGGAAGCACAGAGTCGGCTTCCAGGGTTTTTCATCTACAATGTGAACTTAGTCCTTAGCCTCTAACCAGTGGGATCTTGTATTACCCAGACAAAGATGCCACTTGCAGGTGTCCATGGCTTGCAGGTGTCCATGGCTGTGAAAACACAGCTAGTTGGTGAGCGGTTGGCTTTTAATGGCTGTGATGACTGAGTGAGAAAACTCTGGAGCATTTGTTATGAAGAATTCTATTTCTTACTAAAGGACAAATTCAACAGTGTTACTCATGTTTGAAATTAGTTTTTCTAAGAATTTTTCTGTAACCTCCCAAAAGCATTGATGTTTGCACTTAACTATAAAGCAAGCTTAGAAAGAGCAAGACACATGAGTAAACAAAAGGCCGTTTTCCTTTGAGAGAAAAAATGCATTTTTTTTTTGGCCACAGGGCATTGTGAAGTGTTCATGTGTTGTTATGGTCAGTGTCCTTTTGTCCCCAGAGAAAAAGACCTTCAGGTAAAACAAGGTCTCTAAGATAGTTTTTCCAAGGTCAGAGTTAAAGGTTAGTCTTGTTTCTGGCATGAGCACTGTGACTTCAGACAGCCTTGCAGTTCAAGATTCGAGGGGGACTTTTTCTCAGTTGACACATGCAGTTCCCACATTGTTTCATTAGAGTTGGATCTTTTCCTGTGCTCTTGAGCTTGCGAACCTGGAGGGAAATGAGACTAGAAGATGCCCAGACACACCTCATGAGAGTGACTCCACTGGTTGCTGATGTCAAGTTATATTAAACTACAGTTAATCACTTGGATGGCAGTATTTATCTCTTTGTTGTCAGCTCATAGCCGAATTGCTTAAGTACAATTTATAGCTTTTTAGTGCAGTTAACTCTTTGCAGAAAACCCAAATACAGAAGGTACTATATACCCATGATGTCTGTAAATAGCATCACTTGGCATGTTTTTGTGACTTAGTAGAGTATGCAGTACAAAGTGAGCAATTGTCAGTGTTGCTTCTCAGTGTTGGATTGAATTCTAAGACATTTGCACTACAGTAGCCAAGTCCAGTCTCGTGGTCTGTCACTGTGTCTCTGTGCCCGCTAGTGAGCACTGTTGGGTTCCACACCAGCTGCTGCAATGGCTATTTTATATCCCTCTGTCTATCACCAGGGCTACTAAGGAAAAAAAGGCTGTGTTTGTATGCAACACTAATACTTTGACTGCCAATGTCTCTTTCTGCTTGCTGTGTCTTGTTCTGCCTGCTCTTTCGTGCTAATAAAGTGTGTTTAGTGTTATTGAAAAAAATCATGAAAGTGTAGTTGGACTTTCTCTTCAACTTCCAGCTCCTCCCCAATTCAAATGACATGGAGACTTATTAATTATAAAAGCTTGGCCTTCACCTTAAGCTTATTCCCAACTTGACCTTATAACTTCAATTATCCTGTTTCTACTAATCTACTTTCTACCCATGTGGCCTTTTTCCTTCATAATGACTTGCTTTGTGGCTCAATGGCTTCTACCAGGTACGGAGACTCATTTCCAGCTTCTCTTCCTCCCAAGAAGTCCCACCTATTCTCTTCTGCCTAGCTATTGACCATTCAGCTCTTTATTAAAGCAATTGGAAGGTGCCATTCACACAGTGCTGTCAAATATTCCACAATGGACAATGTGTTCTAAAGAAAAATTCTCATCTTTTGCTTGCCTTCAAAGTAAAGCTTGTAGTGAGCCAGAAGGTGGCAACATGGTCATGATCACACAGAGTTTAGATATACCCAAAGGCAAAGGGTGTGGCCATGCATGCTTTTAATCCCAGAGCTCCGGAGGCACTTTAGTGGATATTAGCTATAAAATAAAGGATAACTCTGCCACAATCCACATGCCTACAGAGGCAAGGTGATAACCAGTGCCCAAGGGGGAATGCATGGCTCTCCAAGGGAAGGGGAACTAGAAGAGGTCTCAAGGGTGAACTGAAGACAATTGCCAATGGGAACATGAGGGATCAGGGTTGGGGGTGTAAATGGAGGGGGAGTGTACTGAAAGAGATGGTTGGAAAGTTAGTGGCATGTCATAGTCAGGTAGAAACTTGGTGCAAATGAGACTCCCTGGAGTCTATGAGGATGACCTCAGCTAAGACACCTAGCGATGGTGGATGCATAGCATGAGCTGGCCATCTGTGACTGGAGATACTTTCAGTGGATGGATTGTGACACGAACTTTGACCTACAGTCTGCCCTGTCTATGGGAAGTGCAGGGGATAAAGGTGGCACAGAGATTGTAAGAGTGGTCAGCAAATAAGTGGTCCAGCCTCAGACCTATAGCAAAAGAGTGAGCCCACCCATCAAACAACCTGAACTGCCAGGGTCCACAGGTTGGATAGCCCAAAGACCTAGAGCAGAACCAAGCATGATTGGGAGGAGGAAACGCAAAGAAAGTCAACATAAAGTTTCCTAACGATATCTGATATAGAATGGCGACTGCCCCAATTCTCATCAGAGAGCCTTCATCCAGTAACTGATAGAAACAGATGCAGAGATCCGACATTCCGACATTGGGCTGAGCTCTGGGAATCCTGCTGAAGAGGAGGAGGAAAGATTGCACAAGCCGGGGGTGTGGGGGTGGTGGTCGAGCACATTATAAGGGAACCCACAGAAACAGCTAATCTGGGCTCATATGAGCTCAGATTCTGGATCATCAGCCAGGGAGCCAGCATGGGACTAACCTAGGCCTTCTACATATGTGTGACAGCTGTGTAGCAGGTCTAAGTGTGGCACTACTGGAGCTGTCCCTCATGCTTTGGCTGGCTTTGAGGAATCTATTTCTCATACTGGGTTGCCTTGCCCAGCATTAATACAGTATGGCTGAAGGTCAAGTGCAATCATTTCAGCTATGAGACTTGTGACTTTTTTGGCAACTGGGTGAGAGTCATAGAATTTCTCAGTTGAGTCACAGAAAGAGGAAGCCCCTGAAAGCTCCATGCCCAGAGGCCTCCGGATGGCTGAAGATCGGGGCAGAGTGGCCTCTGAGACGTCGTTCTTGAGTACATGGCCATGGAACCGCTGCAGATGTCTCAAGAGACAGTGGTACCCAGTTGGTGGGCTTCTTGCCCTACTGATGGTCCGGCCACAGTGCAGGCACACCACCTTTGTTGAGTCTGCAGAGCAAATAGAAAAGTGGTTCCACAGCTTTGAGGTCTTCTTGCTATTACCAGGAAACACACCTTGATGTTTTTTTCTGACTACTGCTGGCAAGTCAGCTAATTTGGAGGAGCTTTCTGCAGAAGCTAAAATGGCATATGGAGAATTTGCCAAACTTGCACCCAGAAAGTCCTTCTGGTTCCCAACAACCTCAGGGTGGCCTCTATACAGATGCCACATCAAACAACTGGTGCCCACGTTCCCCTTTTCCCCCGACTATTAACACAGCTACAGTACTGGCACACTGCTTTGAGACTGCCCATGGGGGCCAGGGAAAAGTGATGCCAGACTTCTGACTTCAGCCTTCTCATGACCTTATTTTGCTGGAAGACAGTGCCTGATTCAAACCTTGGAGTTGCTGTATCTGCTGGTTGCTTCTCTGGAGAGGACACTACAGAGGCCTCCCCCAAGTCATCAGATGATGACAACGTAGACACATCTTCCCAGGACACATCCCCAGGATTTGTGTGTGATGACAGGTCCTCAGGCAGCCTGTCTGGGGATGAGGAGGCAGAAGGGCACTCTTTGACTTGTTTGCCTGGAGACAATGATGCAGAGTTGAGATCTCCCTCTGGGGGCAGCAAGGCAGGCAGCAGGGTTGGGAGCATAGGGTACAATCTTGGGATGCCTGTGCTGCCCCCATTCTCCTGTAGTGCAATGGACCAATGTGCTCCCCACATGTGCCTGATGAGGCAGCTTGTGCCCAGGTCCTACCCGTTCTTGCCCCTGCTGAACTCATTCATACAGTGGACACACACAGCCTTGGAGCTATCAAGGGGTGACAGGTAGAAGTGCTTCCAGATGGCAGACCTCCTTCTGGAGCCAGATGTGCTTTTTGGAAGAAGGCACAGGTTTCTCTGTGCCATGATTTCTGAAGTGTCGCCATAGTGGAGCATGGAGAAGTTGGGGGATGAGCCTGCCAAGGCCTCTTCTCTGCTATACTTTTCAGTGAGAGACACATCAGAGGACACCTCTTCAGAAGAGACCACAGTCACAGGCTCTTCCATTATTTGGTCAGGGGATGGGACCTTGGGAGCCATTTTCTGGACAGTGTTGAGATCTCCCACATCTACAGGCTGTTGTGGAAGCAGAAGAGAGGGAGAGGGAAAGGAGGACCCTATGACAGACTTCCGTTTTCTTGAATGAGCTTGGTGGGATGTGCCCACCTCACATGCCTTGTGGTACTCAAGTCTTTTTCATTTTTGCCCCTACTGAACTCCTTCATACAGTATGTGCATATTGCTTTAGTGCTATCTCGAGGAGAGATAAAGAAATGCTTCCAAGCTGGAGACTTCTTCCTGGAGTTTATGTGTCAGCCAGAAAGAAGGCTCTGGGTCTCGGCTTCCATGGCTGCGTTGTACAGTATGCTGCTATACTGGGAGAAGAGTGTGCCATAGTCATCCTCACTCTCAGCGGGTAAGAATTTCCCAGCAGGCTGACAGGCACAGCTTGCTGTCCTGAGGTCTGCCTGCTCATCACCACTGTCTGTCTGTCTCATATCCTCTGGCTCACTTTTAAAGTCCTCTCTTTCCAAACTGTGACAAGGAATTTGATCATCATCTTCCTCTTCTACCTTGAAATTTACTTTGTCAGAAACAAAATCACTGCCCCCCTTGGGACAAGTTTCCTGCTTATCCTCCATGACCAACCATAATTATCCTGGCTGCTTCATCATTCTGACGTCTTAGGTGAAGAAACTGGTTATAATGCCCACTGGTTATAGTGACCCCCAAAGTAGAGTTTATTCACTTTGTCACAATCCCATCTTCTAGGATGTTTAATATGGCTAACCGTGAATGTCACTGGAAAGCAGAGTATGTAGTTCACAAAAGCACACTGTCACAGGGCATGAGTGCTGTTCTCCAGGAGTGCTACGAGCAAGTACTTCTTGGTGTATGCACCAATACATGCAGCACAGGCTTCTTTCTGTTCTCCAAGACAGGAGCTCCACCATCTTGCAGGCACACACGCACACTCCTTTTGCAAATCTGTCTCCATGCCTCTAGAGCTCCACTTCCCAGTTCTCTTTCTCCAAACTCTAGGCCCACCAGAGACCTGAGGCGCCGGCTCCTCGCGGGCACGCTCATTCATTAGCCGCTTTGTCTTACTCCGCTGCCCCTCCGGCAGCCCCAGCCCCGCCGACCGAGATGACGCTGGACACTGCGCCCCTCCCAGGACTTAATGACTAATGGGTTAGTCATTAAGTCAGAGATAGCCATCAAGAAACCATAGCAAGCCGGGCGGTGGTAGCACACGCCTTTAATCCCAGCACTCGGGAGGCAGAGGCAGGCGGATCTCTGTGAGTTCGAGGCCAGGCTGGACCGACAGCCTCCAAAACAATACAAAGAAACCCTGTCTCGTAAAACCAAAAAAAAAAAAAAGAAGAAACCATAGCAAATGGCCAACAGTTTCATAATTAATATAGCCTCCTGCCTGTTCGTTTGGGACTGATGCGGCTCAGGGACCAAGCTGGCGGGAAGAAGGCCCGTAACAATAAAACTAGTACACATTATCCAGTCCTGATTGTTTTACAACACAAGTGTTCTCCTGCCCTCACTTATTATAACTTTTACTTGGTTTGCATCATGATGGGTTCTCGTGTAGCATCTGCATGGA